TATTTTATTTTAAAAATATAATTATTTTTTTTAAAAATTTTTATTTTTTCCCCCTTTTAAGTGGACTTTTATTTTTTATGACGACACTGTGATTTGGATTTTTTTTTTTAACTACCTTTTTTTTCCTATATAAACAGCTTTTTTCCATGAACCTTTTTTTTTTTTTTTTTTTGAACTAGCCAAAATGGTATTTCCAAAAAAAAAAAGAAATGGCATAGTTACATAAGTGGTCTGACTTGTTTACAATTTTCCCACGAAAAATGAACCACCCGATGAACTGAAGAACAGATTGGTGATATTTAAAAGGAGACAAATGGACCCATTTGTCACTCTATATAACGTGCTACCCACCCTGTGTATCTATGTTCCATTTTGCTGTTGTTTCATTCGTGGGAACTCATAAATAAAGTATATCATCAAAGGAGAGATATATTTTCCCCACATGTGGATACTTCTTGGCAACTTGGTAATTTTTTTTTTCTATGTTAACCACCGTACCGCTAAAATAACACAGATATGATATATGTCCTGACTTTTGTTACGCTGTGATGACGGATGCAACTATTCTACCAGGTTGCGTTTTCAGTTCAGCCACAAAAAGCTTAACCGTTTCGAATTGCCAATTTGTTATTGGAATGGCGATAAGGCAAAACTGCCTCAATCAAAAGAAACGATAAAACACGTGAACAGAGCATTTTACACCCACTTAGAAGCAGTTTATGTGTTTCACTCCAAAGTGGATAAGAACAGGGTCTACGTTTACGCAGGGACGGGTGAATAATCAAACTGTGTCATTTACTCATCAGGGAAATGCGTAAAATGGGGATTCCCACACCCTTTGGTGTTTTCGGGTGATACGTAACTGAAGGAGCTCTCCCCAGGTTAGGAAGAAAAATGTTACCTTAAAGTAAGGGAAAAACGTATGGGCATTCCATCCCTTTAATAGTGAACCTTTTTTGATTATTTCCATGACGACGTTCGAATGTTGTTATGCCCCCCTTTTTTAACGCGCTCTGCATTTTGCACTTGCGTAACAAGGGAATAGCAATCGCAGTGCACATGGTCACACACACTTGGGAAGCATCAGGGAGATAGCTGACTAACCGAACTCCCTGCTGTGCTACACTTTTCACCTTTCCGGAATGCATTGCCTCCCCCTGCAATGAGCATCTTAATAATTTTATTTTCTCAGATTGTATAGAATATCATCAGTTACATTTTATATTCAGACATATGCTTGTCAATTATATTAAAGATCATCACAGAAAATAAAATTAAAAAAGTTACTCAAGTGCCCCTTGGACACTGTTCTTTTGGTTTAGCAATGTAAGGGGGGAATTTTATATACGAGAAGATGTTCCCACCTCATGGGGGCATACCATACAAAGGGGATAGGCAAAAAAAAGGAAACCTCTCAACAAAAGCGTCATCTACGTCAATGAATACAAATGGCGTGAGCAGAAACTGCGCGATTATCCATGACATAGTTACGAAATTCTTGCACATGTATGCATGTTGAAATTTCTGTATGCACCTGACTATCTTACATTTTTCACTTCATGACACCCGAACGTATAAGGTGTCGCGCACTAGTAGAAGGGTCTACCCAGCAGGGGAGATTATCCCAACCAGGTATCTATGCTTTTCACACGTTGATCACTTCGAATGTTCACTCTGGTACATATGAACAAACTGAAATGTAATTTTTGTCGCAAGTGATATTTAAAAAAAAAAACGGCGCTGCTGGGGGAGAATCGTTTTAGCCTCCTTCACAGGAAACCTGTTTAACGCGTTTTTCACACTCGACGGGGGGTTTTCCACATGTTTTGGATGATTTGTGGAAGGGTGGCAGAAATGTACAGGAAAAATAGGGAGAACAATAAGATGTAAGCAGAACAATAAACATTAAGTGGAACAATAAGCAATAAGGAGAATAATAAATAATAAGGAGAAAAATAAGCAATCAGAAGAAAAATAAACAATAAGCAGAAAAATAAACAATGAGCAGAAAAATAACCAATGAGCAGAAAAATAACCAATGAGCAGAAAAATAAACAATAAGCAGAAAGAAAAAAATAAGCAAATAAATAAAAAACAATTAAAACAAATCCAAAATTAAAAACATTTCGCGCGCGCGGAAAAAAAATTGCCAATTTTTCGCTAGCCACGAAAAGTAAATTTTTTTTTTACGCGCAGGTGGCTTGGGTGCCTCCCCCAAATGACGCGGCAGAGGACAACATACCAACTGACCACTGATAACACCGGGAGGAGGGGAGGTTCGATGCCGCTGCAGGCACGGTAGCATCGAGCAGGCGACACTTTGAAGAGATAGTGCCCATATATTATGTGGAGGTGATATGATAGGTGCCCTCCTTGCCTTTTCTTTCCGACCAAGGAGTTTCCCTTCCCAAGCCGGGGGGTGGGTAAGGGGAAAAGTCCCCCACCGCGATATTGGCTTCGCGAATTAACACGAATTTATAAATGAAGGCGTGTGCAACGGGGACAGGAGCGCTCATAAGGCAACATAAAACTCCGCAGCACGTGCATGTACATGAGGATACATTTTAACAGCGGTTGATATGAGTACGCAGTGGTTTAATTCTCTCTTTCTCTTGGTCCCCCCTCCTCGTGAAGCGTAAAGTGCGTGGCCTTTTTTTTTTTCGTAGCCCCCTCTGTTTTGCCTCCACTTTTTTCATTCTTGCATAAACACAAAAGGGCAAACCGAAAGAAGTGCATACCTAATTGGTAACAGGTATCGCGTAGAACATCCCTTCACATGTTCTTTTTCTTTTCGCATCAATCTTCTTGCGTTTTTTTTTTTTTTCTTTTCCTCCCAATTGGAGCGCCCCTTAAATTAAAACAAATCATACGTACACTTTTGCAACGAAAAGGCGAAAAAAAAAAATAAAAAAGAAGCGCTGAACAGTACGAATCAGCTTATGCTGGATGATAAAAATAAAAAATCGTAATTTGGAGTATCCCATCTAATTTATTCATTCCAAACTTAGGGTTTATCTGAAAGTTTAATTTATTCCCTATCTGCTGCTACTTCCGTACGAATTTTTTTTATCTCTTTTTCTACTTTCACAAAATGGGAAGGAAATCAACTATCAAGCCAGCGACTGGAATAGCAGGTAAGGTTTTGCATACCGCCTGGAGAGCAATGTCCCGAGGGGAGAATCAGCTGGGGGGTCACACATAAATATTCGTAGGGGCGAATAATCGCGTGTCGTCTGTTCGCGTAAATTGGCCCAGCCTACATCGCCCCTGCGTGGCAACTCTGCACTGAACAGAAATGTACCCACCTTTTGCTCCTCCGTCATTGCATTTACGTCAGAGCAAACACCATCAGGGTTAACAACAGCCTTTTGGGTACCCCAATGCATTGTTCCAGTTGGAACCAATTGCAGACATCCTTTTTCACATCCACCTGTGTAATAATTGTGCATTTTCATCTCCCCCCCCTCATAGTCGGTTTCAACAGCGGACATGTGGTCACCAGGAGGAACGTCAAGCAGACCATCAAGAAGAAGTCAAAGTCAAAAAGAAAGGAACTTATAAATGACGTCGTGAGAGAAATAACTGGATTTAGTCCATATGAGAAACGATTAATCGAATTGATCAAAATCGGCACCTCTGCTGCCACGAAGAGAAGCTTAAAATATGCCAAGAAAAAATTGGGTACTCATAAAAGGGGCAAGGCCAAGAGGGAAGAAATACAAAAAATTGTCATAATGCAAAGAAGAAAGGCCGCAACGGAGAAGCACTGAGGGGTGCAACACAAGAAGGCGGAAAAAAGAAGAAAAAAGAAGGAACAGGAGCAGGAGGCTGCCTTCCCTCACCGTTAATGCTACACGCAGCAATTATCCATTCCGTGTGAAGTTCTTTCCATTCTATCCTACCTCCAAGCATCGTCCAGAAGCTTCCCTTTTTTGCGTTGGGCACCTCTACTGTTCTGTCCTGTTACATGAAAGCGCGTATGAATACGTGTATAAACGCGCATATAAGTATGCATATGGTTCTTAATTTTTTCCCCCCATTTTTTACTCCCACTTTTTCCCATCCGTATACGCTCTTGGAATGATGCACAAGGAAGCTACATTTCTGAATTACCTACCTTTTCCTCCTTTTTTTTTTTTTTTTTTTTAAATTCCACGAATTTTTACACACGGATGCGCGAACATGGTTATGTCGCTCAGGTAACTGAAAGGAAATTTTAATTTAGGAATAACAAATCGAAAGTGTAAAGATTTCTCCGTCGTAAAATTAGCCAACTGCACATAGTGCCAACCGGCGTAATGTCAAATGAATGTGCCCCATGGCACTGTTCCCAAACATGCAGCAAAGGAAAAGGTGTCGATTCGTCCATCCAGTACGACGCCCCAATTGTAGCTCATCGCCGTGCCATTAAATTTCGTTATGCGGAAACATATCTATGTAAAACTGCGCTTAACATGAGATTATTTCGGATTGAGTCCCCGGTTTAAGTGTAAGCCAAAAATTCCACCCCCCTTGGAAACTCACTGATGCCACATAAAGATGAAAAAGTTCCTCTGGGAGAATGGCGTAGTAAGTTATCAAAAGAGAAAATAAGTAAAGCAGAACATGCGTTTCGTGTCGCATATGTATGCTTGGAGCCTCCCCCTTGCAACGTCACTTTTTAGGAAACCTGATAAAACAGCGCCTTGACTGCTTCGCTTCTTTACTTTTTCGCTTTTTTTCTCTGTTGATTCACAAATTCACCGACGCAATGTAGTGTGCATTTTTTTCTTCCCCTTATGCCACAGGGGCTAGGCTGAACGCGTACTCGGCTCCTTGCTCGTCTGCGGGAGGGACGCTCGTGGGTTTCACATCGCGAATGTTGCCATGTATAGTGTGATGCGCTTCTCAGCAGCGCGTTGTCCAGTGTTACCTCGATCGGTACACGGTGCCCGCGCCGCTTCATCGACGCTTCACCACGACACCACTTTTCCACTTCCCCACTTCAGAAAGTTTCCTTCGGCGTGCTGGGAATAATTTACTTCCTCTACCTGAAGCGGTTTCTTATCCAGGAATGGGGGATATACCAAATGAAGAAAAGAGAGAAAGACATAACCACCAACAAAATTCAAATTTATGAAGACCACGAAAATGTGAAGCACATTTTGGACGAGGAGAAGAGCAAAATACACCGGAGGGCGTTCGACTATGGAAGGAAGAACTGAGCGGCGAGGCAGAGCGATGAACTAACAACCCACAATTGTTCCTCCCTCGTTTTCCATTTTGACGAAGCAGAAAGAGACGGAAAAGAAAGGCAAAAGAAAAAGAAGCACTTGAGTCGTAACGAATGTGTATTCGTTTCACAAGTGGAGTGAAACACCTCCCCTGTTTGTAGTTCCCTTTTTTTTCCGTCCATTTCTGCGCCCCCTTTCTCATGTTATGAGAATTGGTGAATTTATCGAACGAGTCACCATTATGGGGAAGCCATTATCGTGTGCAATTTGGCACATCCTTATATCTCCATCTGAACGGCTAAGTCAACTTGTGTGTGCATATACACAGGCCAGCAACCTTTAAAACAAAATGTAACATTCACCGCTTTTTCGTTTTTATGAATCGAATTAGCCACTCGTTTCTTTTTTCTTTGCTCTTAACTGGTGCCTGTTGTGGGACTCCCTTGTGAAGGGTTCCCCGTTAAACAGATCCTCCACTTTTCTTTTCCGTTTCCTAAGTTGGCTTTGTTTATTCCTATCCCTATTGCCTGACTTGTTCATATTTTTTCCCCCTTACGTACACCATTTGGTGCAGGAAAGAAAAAAAAAAACAAGAAAAAAAAAAAAGAAAAAAAAAACCAAATAGGAAAGCAAGCCATTCTCACTTCTTCGAGGTATACAAAAGAAAAAAGTCATATCATCTCAACAGCAGCCGACGAAATGATCTTCCCTTTTTTTTGTGTCACCAATCGCGCTTGTACATTTGCGCATCGACCAATAGAACATGTTTCGCCGATTGGGCCTTGAGCATACCCGTATGCATACACATTCGAGGAGAATTCAACAAATTAAAAATTGATCGCCTTCTTTGGGGCCTGTCCATTAATGTTTGCAGTTTTTATATGGGAAAAGAAAAAAAAATGCTAATCTTGCGAGGGTAGAAAGTTTGACGTGTTAGGGACTGGGATGGCACAAAATAAGCAAATTCAGCTTCGCAAGCACTGAATGCGTTATGCCATTTTTTTTTTTTCACCATTCATTTTGGCCATTTGTTCTTTAATTCTTTGGTTTTTGTTTGTTCCCACTTTGGCTTCCCCACCCCGCATAGCATGGAGCCACTCCGCGCGTGACGAAGCCGTCACCCCCGCAGAGCTACACACGTGTGTACACGTCCGTATAAATGCGTTCGCTCACTCGTGTACGTATTGTATGAATGTGCACATCGCGTTACGAGAGAAAGAGAAACGCCAAGTAGGCTGGGTAGATCAGGAAGACCAGGCAGGCTCCACCTCGCCCACTCCCTCGAAATGGTGTCATCCGGCTGCAACAGCAAAATAGCCCGCTTTTCGAAGAGCTCCATTTTAGAGAAGGGGGTACACTTGGTAAATATAAAAGACGATGGGAGCTTGAAGGAGTACAAGTGGTGGAACGGCATCATTAAGCCAAAGGAAACCTTTAATGCAAAAAAGACGAGGGGGTTCCTAATCGTGAAGTTATTCCTCTATGGATACTTAAACAGAATAAGTACTTACAGGTCGAATAAAGACAACGACCTAATGCACCCCTATTTAAAAATACTCCTAAATAATGAAGAAATTTATAGGACCAAAGCTTTACACAGTTCGTTAAACATATGGGATGAAAGAATCGACATCGAAATTCACTACATCAAGAGTAAAATAGAAATTCAGCTATACGACATGGACGAAACGGAGGGCATCGTGGAGGATGAATATATTGGCAGTGCCTTCATCGATGTTTTCTATCTACAGCTGTCTAAGAAGTATGATATCATTGTTAAGTACATTAACAAAGTGGGACACTTGATGGATCTTCATCATTATAAGAAGAAGACACCTAAGGAGGAAAGCAAGGACAATCCAAAAGGGGGCCAGACGGGGGAAGCGACTGCCAACAATGGTTGTACCAGCTTAATCAAGGATACTTCCTCACCGGGAGGGGTAAAGTGTCCGAACGATTACAACGTTCGGCTATTTGCTAAACTAGTTAACAAAAAAAACTACAACAATTGGATTCTGCAGTTAAACTGCATTTCGTCTCTTAATTACTCCTATGTCCACAAGAGCAACGAAATATTGGACAAAGAATTAAACATAAATCAATTGTATGATGAGTTAAAGACTATAAAAGGAAATGTTGAGACGATCTGGTTGCCCTTCTTTTCAATTATATATAACTTTTCCTCATGGAAGACGCCATTCTATTCTGTCTTTTTTCTGATTTTTTTTTTCTTTTCCTTTTTGTATTCCAAATTTTTTCTCTCCTTTTTTTTAGTAGCCTTAAGTATAATTTTTTTCATTTTGGTTTCCATCATTAAGGAAAGTGACAAAATGAAAGCAAGTGGCCAACTCGGCACTTGGGCGAAGGCTGGCTGGACTGCGAATGCTCACTCCTTGGGAGCACAGCAGGGGAAGAAGAAGAGGAAGAGAAGGAGCAAAGCGTTTAGCTACTGGATGCAGGCGAAGAACCTTGGTGGTTACAGCCCGCCAAAGGGAGGGGAAGTACCCTCAAATGATAACACCTTAAAGGAGGATGCCTCTTCGACGAGCGACTCTCAGATCAGCGGTAGTTATAGTAGCTGCTCCTCAACCGACTTGAGTACGGACCATTCGAGTGGCCTCTCGGATTCCTGCGGGAGCGACGCGGAGGCGAGTGCGCTCCTGAGCGCCGAGGGGGACTGCAGCAATGGGGGAGATGGCCCAAGGCGCGCGAAAGGGGAGAAAGCCGCAAAAGGCGCGACAGGTGGAACAAGTGAAGAGAGCAGAAGCGCCGTAGACAGTCACAGCGGGAACAGAATCCAAAGTAATAAAGACCCTCCCCGAGGCGGAAAGAAACACAAAAAGGACAACGGATCCATTGACAACAACAAAGCCGACATAAGGGGAGACACAGCCGAGGAGGAGAAAACGAAAAAACGAACCAACAGTAGCAGATGCACGGGAGAAGTCAACACGGACAACGATGACACGAGTAGTGACGTCAATATAACAGACGAAGAAAGCAGCAACGAGGGAACCACAGAAAATAACCTACAGGTTATTAAAACATTCGTCTCAAATATAATAGATGATGAAATTATTAATAACGTAAAATATTTTCACTACATACTTTTCTGTTTCACGAGGTGGTCACAGATTTTATTCTTTGTTTTGCGAAGATTTGGCTACTTCCTGGTGGTTATTACGCTGCTTTTTTGCTTCTTGAATATTTATTTCTACCCCCTTGTGGGGAGGTTGCTGCGTTTTTGTATCTTCTGCAGTGGGTTTATTTTTTTGACCTACAATTTGAAGCCCACGAACATTCTGTACAGGTTTTTCCTGTGCATCCAGGAGTACTACTTTTGGGGACCTAGTCGCAGCAACGTAGACATTTTCTCCGCACCCCGCGGGGGATGAAGGGGGGCCACAATGCAGCCCTGCGTGGCACCGCAGTTATGCCATCCATATGGTGTAACACATCAGCCCATCAATCTCCCACCCAATGTGGGATGACCAAATGTGGATGTGTGCACAAAGGGGGGCAAGGGTTTTGGCATGCCCCTTTTGGCTGCCCTTTCGACTGCCCTTTTTGACCTCTCCATTTTGACTTTCCCATTTTGTCTTACCCATTTTGACAGAACTCCTTTTTTATGAATGCTTCTCTCAGGATAACCGCACAGCCCGTTGCGCAATTTTGCAACTGCGCACGGGGTGAGAGGCGACACGAGTGTGCAGCATCCAACCCGCTGCTCATTAGTGTATCTTTCCGTTCGTCTTTTTTTTTCTGTTCATATCGGTGCCACCTCCAAAAAGGATAAGAAGTAGATTGTACACAGTGCATCGCCGCTTCTACTGTTGCCTTCCTTTGCACTCTATCTTTTTTTTTTTTTTTTCTATCTCTCAAATTGCTCACCTTTATACGTACGTAGTTTTTAAAAGGTGCGTAGACGTAGCCAGGACGTAATGCTTCCCCATCTCCACTCCCAATTGCGAATGATGTAAGAAAGCAACTTTGTCTGTTTTTTTTTTTTTAAAGGGCATTTCAATTGATGGGGTTTTTTCTTTCAAAATTGTTTCACCTTTTTGTAGCGTCCAGGTCAACCGCTCCCGTGCGGCATTCTCACGCACACGTTTGTGTAGGTGCACTGTGTGTGGAGGTGGTATGCAGGTGGAGGACGCGAACAGGGCGTATGGACAGACATATAAACAGATCGGGGACGAGTGGGGGAGAATAGAAAAGAAGAAAAAAATAGATTTCATCCAACTCTGGCTTCACCGCTACATAGAACAAGAGGGTTGTCATATCTCCATTTAAGGGGCGACTCGGAAGAGCCAATTTTACCATCAGCACATTGTCATAGAGGCAGAACTTTTCAGAGAATAATTTCGTTTTCTTATAGAGGGGGAGAGCCCTTCCTCTACAGGAACCTTTTATGCTTGGTTGTCTCTCCCCCAATATGAGTCTCATTCGCTTGGCAGTGCAATATGTGAACATAGAAGGGGTTAAAAGGGAAAAAACGTTTCACCGCTCTGTTTCATCGCTCCCTTTCGCCACTCCCTTTGAGATCATTTGAACGTATCACCTTTTGGCAATCCGTTAAAGGCAAGGAAGCACCGGATGGTTAAACATCGTCCCACATGCACCTATACCGAATAGTTGTGCGCTGCCCACGTAACACCATTTCTTTATTCGCCGGGGAGGTGATGCATATGCATTTTCTTTTTTTTGTGGCCCCATCTCTAGGGCGAAGGAGGGAAGGCGTTTTCCGTTTAGCTAATTCGAAGCAAATGTTTGACAAAAAAAAAAAAAAAAAAAAGGCACAATTTTGTAGGGCCAAATAAAAATGTGTTTACATTTTTGCCGAGCAATGTTATCTACAAAGGTGAAAATCTTTCTCTCGTTTCGTGAACCCTTGCTAATTTTTTAAACGAATTTTTTTTTTTTGCCACGGGAGGAAGGAAAAATGAAAGCAATAAGGTAACGGTAGCCGCGAATGCAAATGTTTTTTTTTTTTGTCCCCCGTTTTTTTTTTCTTTCTTTCTTCCTTTTTTTTTTTTTTTTTTCTTCTACCCACTCTGAGATGCGTTATAAAAGAGTGACGGCGGCTGGTTGACTGGTCCACTTCAATTCGACTTTGAATATTTATTTTTACCCCTAAGGGGTATATACCCACAGCGAGGGTTTAAAGCATACGGATGGTGAACATCACCGGGGAAGTCACCATCTAGGCCTCATCACAGCAGCGTTAAACGGAGCAAGTGCCCCTACGAAGGGTGTATTCTTCCATGCCACCCCACCCAAGAGTTAAAAAAGAGCCAAATTGGCCATATGAGCAAGAAAGCAAAGATATCACATTTGCCTCTCCCCATTGGCCACGCAACTAGGGAGATTGCGTAGAAAAAAAGGGGGGGTTAACCCAAAAAAGGGGGTGTCACACCAAAACGACCGTTTTGTTTCTCAAACGGTGGGTAGCAAACCGTTCATGTGTCGCCCCTTACACATCCGAAGCGGCCCACTTTGTGTAGAGAAAAATAAACTAGCCGTATTAAAGGCATACTTAATTGAACACTGCGGTGGAAGTGACCAACCAGTAATAGATTGCCCTTTTCTTCGTTGGAACACAATTTCGCCATTCACCCTTCCATTTCCCGTTTTATTCATCCTTCCATTCCCCCTTTGATTCTCCCCCCTTCTGCGCAAAAGCGCCATGATCGCATATCCAGGGGGTCCACACCAAAGATGCCCACGCTGCTGTTCTCACTCCAAATGAGAAGCAACCCAAAAGGATATGTATACGTTTAACTCGGTGAAGGCGGAGCCCTTTGGGAAGGCGCCAGTTGGTTACATCCCCGGGAAGGGAAGAGGAGTAACGGGATTCTCTGGAGGTGTCAGTAGAGATGATACAACAGACGAAAAGGACAAAAACGACTACTCCGACTTCAATTATGATGAATTCCACGGCTACTCAGAATCGCTATTTAAAGATGCAGAATACGATGAAGATGATAAAGAAGCCGATGCGATTTATGAAAACATAGATGCACGGATGGATGTGAGGAGAAAAAGTAGAAGAGAAATAAAGCTCAAGGAAGAGATCCAAAAAATGAGAGCACAGAAGCCGACCATACAAGAACAATTTAGTGATTTGAAAAAAGGATTAGCAACGGTAACTGCGGAGGAATGGGAATCCATCCCAACTGTTATGAATTACTCAAGACAGAAACAGAAGAAGGTCCCAAAGAGTTACCTACCCACTCCGGATAGTCTTATCATGAGCAGATTGAACGATTCCAATATGCACCTGAATTATGCCGGTTCGGCTTCCAATGGGTTGAAGACTCCTCTAGGGTTAAGAACGCCCCTCATCGGAATGAGAGCCCCCTTTGGGACGCAAACTCCGCTCGGAGCGCAAACTCCACTCGGAGCGCAGACCCCACTGGGAAGGCAGACCCCGCTGGGCATACAAACCCCGTTAGGGTTACGAACCCCCTTGGGTGCGAGTGCACCCATAGGGTTAGGGATACAAACTCCCTTCATGAGAGGAGGAGGAGGAGGGGGATTCGGTCTGGAGACGCCATTTCTGACTAGGCATTTATTAACAGCAAAAGGACGAAATACCTCCTCCTCAGCGTATAGCGGATTGAACACCCCTTTTACCCTCTCCGGTTATAATACCCCTTTGAGTGCGTCCAGCGCTGGGGGATATAATACGCCCCTGATGAACGGAGTAAACAGACTTTCGCTAAATGATGTTGGAGAGGCGAGAGGGACCGTGTTGTCTGTAAAGTTGGATGAGCTGATTGACAGTGTAGAAGGGCAGACTGTTATCGATCCGAAGGGGTACCTAACTAATTTAAATGCTAAAAGTTTAGTGAACGATACAGATATAGCGGATATTAACAAAGCGAGATCATTACTCAAATCAGTGATCAGTACGAATCCGAAGCATGGACCCGGATGGATTGCAGCTGCTAGGGTGGAAGAATTAGCACAAAGGAAAGACAAAGCGAAAGAAATCATCATGAAGGGGTGCATCGAATGCTCGAAAAATGAAGATATCTGGTTGGAGGCAGTACGGCTTGAAGACAAACTAAGTGAAGTTAAAATCATCTTAACCAAAGCGATTAAGGAAATACCCACATCGGTTAAGCTCTGGTTGGAAGCCTACAGGAAGGAAAATAACCTTGACGATAAGAGGAAGGTTCTGAGGAAAGCCATAGAGTGTATTCCCAATTCAGTTCGTCTTTGGAAAGAGGCCATATCTTTGGAGAGTGAAAACAATGCCTACATATTGCTAAAGAGAGCCGTGGAGTGCATCCCACACTGCATCGAGATGTGGATTGCCCTGGCTAGGCTATGTCCCTATAGTGAAGCACAGAAGGTTCTAAACGAAGCGAGAAAAAAAATCCCAACCAGCGCAGAAATATGGATCAATGCATCTAAGTTAGAAGAGAAACAAGGCAATCACAATATGGTAGATATTATTATTAAAAGGTGTATTGAAAACTTGTCCTCTAAAAATGTCGTTTTCGAGCGAGAAAAATGGTTAAAATTCGCAGAGGAGAGTGAGAAGTCTGACTTCCCCTTAACATGTGAGAGTATCATCCGGAATACAATGAAAATAGGAGTAGAAAGCCTCAATAAGAAGCGAATATACAAACAGGACGCGGAAAATTGTATTAAAAACAAATCCATTCACACCGCTAGAGCGATTTATAATGAAGCACTGAAGATTTTTAAAACGAAGAAATCCCTCTGGTTAGCTTTGGCCAACCTTGAACTAGCGCATGGGAAGAAAGAAAATGTGGAGCAGGTCCTACAGAGGGCTGTGAAGAACTGCCCACATTCCAGTGTCCTCTGGTTAATGTACGCAAAGCAGAAGTGGCTAAACAACGAGATTGACAAAGCGAGGGAAATACTTGCTGAGTCATTTATGCACAATCAGAACACGGAAGTGATATCCTTAGCAGCCATAAAACTGGAAAGAGAAAACAATGAATTCGATAGGGCACGATTTTTACTAAAAAAATCCAGAGTTCAGTGTAACACTCCAAAAATATGGATGCAGTCTGTCCAGCTGGAAAGACTACTCAGAAATTATAAGGACGCCAAGGAGCTGGCACATGAAGCGCTACAAACTCACAAAAAATTCGACAAGCTGTATATGATTGCGGGGCAAATAGAGCTAGAAATGATGCGCCCTAAGATGGACTTCCTTGCAGGATCAGCAGCAGGAGGAGCAGAAGCGGGGACTCTCGCAGGACAGATCCACCAAGACGGAGTTAACACTGCGAGTTGTGCCCCCCACATTCTTAGCAGCAACCACAGTGGGAGCGACGTGGAAGAGAAGGAGGAGCAGCAAGGGGAGCAGAAACAGTCGCAGGAGGAGCAGCCCCATACTGCTAATCCCTGTAACCCGAGTGATCACTACGCCAATGCACAGAAAATATACGACGAGGGGCTGAAGCACTGCCCCTCCTCCATCAACCTCTGGCTATGTGCCATAGACCTCCAAATCGAAAAAAAAAATTACACCTCAGCTAGGGCGCTAGTGGAAAAGGCAAAAATAAAAATCAAAAGCATCCACGCGGCAAACAGTAACAACCACGTTTTGAAAAACAAAGAAATCATTGAGAGCAACGAATTTGCGTTTGAAGAAGAATTGAACCGAAATGGCGATGATGTCACCAAAAGTGGAACCAACGTGAATAACTTATCCAATGCAGAGAATGACATTAGTAAAAATGCCACCATCAATGCATCCATCAGGGTCATCGAAAATTATGACTTACTCTGGATTAAACTAATAGAGATCGAGTCTCACTGCAATAGTAATAATGTCACTCCTGTCATTTCGGAGGCACTGAAAGAATGCCCCTCCTCCGGCATCCTCTGGTCCAAGGCAATCGAATTTGAAAATAAGAATCTCCAGAATAGCAAATCCGTGACTGCCTTTAACAACTGTGGGAATAACGCCTACGTCATTTTAACCGTGGCGAAGCTGTTTTGGCAGCACTTCAAGATGCAGAAGGCGAGGAAATGGTTTTACCGCGTGATCAGCCTCAACCCGCACTTCGGCGACGGCTGGGCGACGTTCCTCGCTTTCGAAATTGATCAGCAGAACGAGGTCAACCAGAAGGACATAATCAACAAGTGCATCAAGGCGGAGCCCAACCGAGGTAGGCATCGCGCAAGAGATGCGAAAGGGGGGCGACACAGATGTGAAGCGGCAATCATGTCCAAATCGTTTTTCTCACCCCCTCACTTCTCTGCTACACCGTCTCACCCCACCCATACGCTAACCGCTACTCACCACCCGCAGGCTACATGTGGAACAAAATCACTAAGCGAGTCGAGAACTGGAGGCTCAAATATCCGCAGAAGCTCTACAAGTACATCAAGGAGCTCTTCCCGGAAGTCTTAAAGAAAAAAATCTCGGAGCAAATATGGAAAATTATGAGCGACGAGAACGTGGGCCTCCCAGTTTCCCCGCCCAACCCCGCCGTAGAAGCGGTAGAAACGTTAGAAACCGTAGAAGTGACGACTGAAGCCAAAGTTGGCGACACAAACCAGACGAACCACACGACGGACGACAAAGCGGACGACAAAACGGACTCCGGCAAAAAAGGAAAAGCCAAGAGCGCACTAAAAAAAACAAGTAAACGTAAAGGCACGAATGAAGAAGGCGAAGAACCTGAAAAGGCGGACCGACGGAAGCGAAAAAAATGAGTCTTCCCACTCGTGCTTCTCTGCAATGTGCCATTCCATTTTATAATACTCTTCTTTTTGGATCCCCTCACAAGTGTGGCAGCCCCTCCCCCTCGTATTCCGTGCCTTTATTTTTTCTTTTTTTGTTTAGCCATGCAGGAACGCTGCTTACATCGCGTCTGCAAAACTCACCACGATAAATTTCTTTTTTTTTTTTTTTTTTTTGAATGATTAAACTGTTACAACACTTGGCATTTGTTCGAAAAAAACTAGTTAACGGAAACAGTTGCCCGCAATGTGCGGCACATTACGCGCACGAATGAAGCCCCGCATGTGTTGGCGGCGTCTTATCCGCCTCGTCAACATAGAGGTTCGGTTTATTCTTCACCCCGTTAGGTGTGCATGGGAGGGAAGGGTGTGTGTGTGCTTCAGGTCTATCTCGCACTTCACCCTGGATTCAAAATTTTCCCCTTTTGAATGTTTCCTTTTTCAAACGAGGAAGGATGACTCTGTACGGAGGTTCGATTCCCGTGGGCTTTCCACTTGGCACTGCACTTCCCCCACACATTTCGCCCTTTCCATTTCTTCTTCTTCTTTTTCGACCTGTTCGTTACCTTACTGATTATATTCACCTTATTGATTAATGCATTACCGGTTTTTATTTTCCAGTTGAGGTTAGCCCCACTGGATTTTATCTGACTGCCTGCTTCACTGCCCTTTGGACCATCTGTACGCCCTCCCTTCATCTTCTCCCCCTGCCCCTCTACATTGGCATTCTTCTTCTCAGAATTGTTCTCATGGGTAGAAGCCTGGTCGTCCCAGTTGGATGACATACATTTATCACTTGCTGAATTTAATGAAGTATCGCTCTTTTTAACAAAAATGGAATATTTTATATTTTCATTTTTTTTCCTTTCCGGTTTTTCTTCGGTGGTGGGGAGGGAGGCTTTACTTCCGGTTTGATTTATTTTCTTGGCGCAATTATTGTACATGTCTTCCCACCACATGCCTCCCTTTTCGTCTTCTTTCTTTTGGCGTTCTTCATATCCTAGCTGAACAGCAAAAAAAAAAAAAAAAAGGGTTGACCAAAAAATGGTAATGAAATTTGGTGCGGTGTGGAAAAAATGGAAGTGTGTCACGGGTACACACTGGACAGGCATTTCAAGAAACATGATTGTCATGAGGACGAAGCGTTTGTGTCGGTAAAATGCTACGTGCATCGACTTGTAGTTCTTTCGCAGGTGGCATTGTTTTCCCCTTTTTTTCTTCACTTACGCCGTGCTCTCCGTACTTCCTAATTTTCATGATGCTCACGTCCCCATTTTCGAGTTTCCCGAGGCCCTTTCCCCTTCAGGTGAAGAAACAGAAAAGTGCGGTGATTGGGGGGAGGGAAGATGGGCACAATGGGGCTACTTACAAAGCAAAACGGCCCTGCTCCGGTCCGCCGTCACAGCTGTTCCCTCTGGCGCGTCCCTCTCTCCCTGCTACTTACTTGGCCCATCCAAATTTCTGCATAATGTAGGAGCCATATTTCGACTCCACAGGCTTGGACTGGTTTTCTAAGCAGTAAAAAAAAGAAAAAAAAAAGGGAAGGTGAAGTGAAGGTCATGGCGAAAGCGAACGTTCCCTCTTTTTCTAACTCTTTCACAAGAGCACCTGCCAAGAAGGTAACTTCATCGCGCTGTGCCAATTTGTTGTCGATCAAGAATGTCCATGCAATCTATACGACGGGTTAGGTGCCGAAGGGGAAGAAGAAAAAAAAAAAAAGAGACCCTCAGAGGGTGTCTGTAATTTTTAGCTTTCCCCTTGGCCATATGCACATGGCTATTTTTTTTTCACTCTTACGTATTTCGCCGAGCAACTTTTCGTAGTACTTCCTTGACATGTTGGGATCGTCAGAAGGTGCTTTCACCCCTCAGGTTAAAAATGAGGGCAGCTATTCTTTCGAAACAGACGAACTTATGATAACTTCAAGCACTTGTGTATGCATGAGGAGTGTACATCTTTGTCGACCATAAAAAAAAAGGAACGGTTGTCCTTCCCCCTGGTTGTGCAAAATCAACCAAAAAGGTAAAAAAAAAAAAAAAAATGGAAAAGATAGGAAAGCTCAATCAAAAGATGAACAAATGACGACTGCCTCGATCTTTACCGACTTCTTTTTTCTCCTTTCTTTTTGATAGCTCCTTCAAAAATGATTTTTTGATTGCACGAACGGTTTCGCTGAGGGTGCTGTTTTTTTATTATTTTTTTTTCCGATGATGCGCACAATTGGCACACTCACACATTTAGCTGCCTCTACCGTTGCGACAATTTTAGCGCAAACAAGAGAGTTGCAAATGTATACTCTCGCAATTGAAACAACCTGGTGATGGTACTTTCTCCTTCTATTCATGTAAGCAGCGCGACCTGCCACTTTTGTGTCCCCCAATTTTGGCGTTATCTCACGGTAGGTGAGGATTTTCCTCCTCTTTGACGTTTGCTTTTGCATTAAGTACACCACAGCGGCGGAATCAAAACCTGGCTCCGTAAAACTCCACAACAGACAAAAAAGGACACAAACAAATTGCGGCGTGGGAAAAGAAAAAGAAAACGGAAAAAAAAATATGAGGCAGCGCATAACGCTAATACACTGCGCACGTTTCTGCTTATATTCCAACGTGTTTATGTTTATGCTCACTTGGCAAATTCACTCACAAGGGCATGTGCATGGAGCGCACAGAATGGGGAAATACAAATTAACACGAAAAAAAAAAAATAAAATAAAGAATGACAAATATTGCAATTTTACAAAAAAACGGATCCCATGTGTATTGCCATTTGACACGAGGAAGGGTAACTACTTGTCGGAGAAAAAAACAACGAGAGAGGGAGAATAAAATGGCATGCCACTCTAAACAAAAATGTACAAATGAATACGCGACTCGACATTTGTAACGTCTTTTTTTCTCTTTGCGGGATGCCAAAGAGGTTGGGGTTAGGGGAGATGCCTCTTCATTCGCCGCCTAACCCTGCAACCACCCAGGATCACCAACAGATTAAAAAAGGGAAGTCACCCAAAAAATGCCACGCTGTGCATACGCATGTATTATAACTCGTTATACCTACTTATCTCCCTTTCCGAAGGGGAAGTTGCTTTCTCCGTGAAAAAATTTCCCCCTCACAAGTGGAAATGCAGAAGAATACGTGGTTTCATAGGCACTCTTCATAGGCAACCTTATAAAGTAACCTCATAGGTATACACTCCTATCCTATGCATAGGGGCTACGTGGAGATCCCCTTTGGCCAAACGGACAACATAATTAAGCGCGCCACTCTTTCGTTGCTCACATTTCAACGACCTTCTCGGCCAGGAAAATTAAAAGAAAGTGATGAAGAGAGCCGATGCGAAAAAAAGGGACGCAGCGGAGTAAAACAAATGGGCTGAGGACGATGCAAAAAAAGAAACACAGCGGGGGAAAGAACAAATCGGCTGAGGGGGATGCAAAAAGGACGCTCCGCTCCTATTTTTTTACAAGTTAGAAGAACAAAACAAAAAAGGGGTAAGCAACTTTTTAAACACTGTTTCGAGTGGCACAACGGAGGAATAAGGCATGTCATAAAAGCATATAATAATGAGTGCATATATAAGTAGTAGCGCACGCCGATCGTTCAATATTCAAATGACGTACCATCCGTACGCGCAACCTACATAGGTAAAAAGAGGCTATTATGTTTAATATCTTTTTTATGGGTATACGTTGCTTATGTTTTTATTTTACTTGGTACAGGTGCGGAGGCGCATTGGGGGGGTTACATTTTCTTGCCAATTTTCCCCCAAATAAAGGCGCCAAAAAAAAAAAAAAATACTCCCAAAAATACGTGGCCGCACCATAGTTCTGCACACATGTTTAGTAATATTTTCTTTCCAGCCCGATCCGATCCTCTGGCCCAGTATATTGCCAACTGAACCCGTACCACTTGTTCATTTTAGAGGTGCGTTGCTTTCCCTTCGGCTCTGTCGAATGGCTCCCATGCATATTTATTATGTTACTATGTTATTGTACCGTTGCACTGTTGTATTGTTGTACTATTTGTGTCATTTGTATTTGTTATGCCATCAATTCCGTCATCCTCATCACCATCGCCACCGTCATTCGTCCCCCGTTGACACTCGTTACTCTGAAGGCGCCGCACGAGGGGAAGAAACAAAAGGGGGGCAAAAATATAAGGAAAAAAAAAAAATTTATAACGTAGTAATACCCATTTCTTTATATACTTCACAAATGCCCAAAGTGCTCCCACAAAAATATACATGCGCAATTAAGCGCGCAAAGGGAATACGCTTTTATAATCAAGAGAACCTAGCTGCGAAGCTGGGCACAAAATTACATGCATATTTTCATTCGTACCCTTGTATATATGTAAATTCTGTAAAAAAAAAATGAAACAGTTTTTTTGACCTTGAAAAAAAAATTCCCCCTCA